TTCTTATTGGGAAGATTTCTAACTCTGTTATATTAGTCACTACCTTTATGTTCCCATTTGTTTCAATTTTAGATACTGTCTTGATAACAGGAAAGCTTTAGAGAGAGATGTGGGATATGCTGAACTTCAAACTCGTCTTATTCGTTATGAAACACAGACCACCTGCACAAAAGAGTGCTGTCCTGTACCATGCGTCTTAAGCCCTCTTCCATCTCCTGCAGTATTATCAGAGCCTGGTAGCGTGCCTGATGGGGAAGGTTTACAAAGTGAATTCAGAACAGAAACATCAAGGCTAAAACGCAGATCAAAAGACTTGGATTGCTTTTATCCCAACAAAAGGTAATGCACTAACTAATAACAAAAATGTTAGCATGAAATATCCTAATACATTTTGTATAAATGCATCTCCCTTTTAATCATGTAATGTTTTTAAAGGAGCTGCTACAGAAATGTTCTAGTGTAATCCTTTTGTACAAGTTCATTTTTTCTGAAGTGTGATCTAGTGTTGATAGCATTAATCAAAACCACAGAGCCAAGACACTCATATAAGAAAAGAAAAGTTGCATCCTGCAAGGTACTGAGTGTCTTAAAATACCTTTTGCAGGCTTTGTAATTATTATTTGTAGGGCAGGAGTGATTTGGGGTTTAGATTACTGGGCACTGTAGAAATGTAAAACAGCACAGACTGTGGCCCAAGAATTTACCACCAAAGTGAAGACAACCTGTAGCAATTCTGCTTGCCAAGCCCTCAGCACTCCCACTTCTTCAGAATTCTGCACTTGCCCAGAACGGAAGTATTCCCTTATCATCAAACCATTAAAATGAACAGATTCCACCACCAAGCAACTGTCACCTTATTACTGTGATACTTTCCTAGTCTTTTTGCCCAACTGTTTGTTTACTCACTTGTTGGAATACCCATGTAATTGCAAGTAAATTCTTGAAGCATGATTCATATCGTATTTTATATATTTGTCTCACTGAGCTACCAGACTTTGGAGTTGTACTTCCCAGGATCAGGCTGTTTAGGAGTGAGAACTACTCTTACTGCCAGAGATCAATCTTCATAACTGCATAAAATGTTACTCAACTTTTTCCTTCCAATAACCAGCAACTCAACTATTTGGGCTGTTTTTTCTCTAAAGGTGAAGAACGCAGAGTGGTTTAAAGCACTCTACTTGATACTACTTTGTCTTGAATTGAAACTGGAGAGTAAAGTACTAGGAGTAGTGACTGGGCATGCCTATATTTTTCATATTTACTGGATAAGAAGGGGAAGTAGCCACATTCTTTAATCCTTAAAAGAAAGTTGTTGGGACATGGAGGGCTGGGGGAAGAAATTTCTGCAGTCTTTCTGACCACCTCCCACTTCTGTATGCATCTTTCCTGTGTTTTTACAGCTAGCATGATTTGTTCCCAGCTGATTTTTTTCTGTAGCGTTTGTGATAGCACAGATTGAAAACTGTGCAAAATTGAAACTACTGTGCATTAACCACACCAGTGAACAAATTGATAGGTAAGGAAAAAGTGTTCTTCCATCAATAGG